TCGCTTACAGTTACTCAAACACGGCCCTGGGCAGCGCTCAGAAAGTTTCAGCGCTCCAGCTGCTCTAGTTGCAGAGTTACGTCAAATTTACGTGTTCGTACGTGAGTGGCAACGTGAGTGCTTCCTTCGTCTGTAATGGGTCAAACACGGTCCTGGGTAGCGCTCAAAAAGTTTCAGCACACCAGCTGCTCTGGTTGTGGAGTTACGTCAAATTTCACGTGTGCACACATGTTCGTACGTGAGATGCAGAAGGGCTGACAAGTAACTTACTTTTACGGACACAACAGTGGGCATCAAGTGACGCTGAAAAATTGTAGTTCTCTGCAGTTTATTGATCGCCTTAGGGAGTTGGCATGGTGCCAGTTTAAACTTTGACGTGTACGTACGTGAGTCCTGAGGGTGCGTGAAGGTTGAATTTGAAATCTTTGGATTAGACACGGCTAATGAACAACTCTGTGAAGTTCTAGCCTCCAGACACGGGCCGTTCCCGAAAACGCTTTCCCGCCAAAAAAATTTTCACGTGCCCCTACGTGAGAACGACGCGGACCTGAGCGTCCATTTTGAGGATACGAACCCGTACGCATGTGTAGATTAAGTCACCAAATTTTCAGCCTTGTAGCTTTTGTGGATCTCGAGATGAAAATTCGCTACAAACGCACACACAGACACACACACACACGCACAGACAACCCTTCGACAATATGCGTTTTTGCACTGCATAGCTGCAAAAAACGCATAAAAATTGTTTGAAATCTGGATGTATATCACTAACACAGAGTCTCAAAGTACTTTCAAGATTGTCATCTGTTAGTCCCGTACGCATTTTAGTTTTTTCTTGAGAATGCAGAGGCGCGGCGGAGCACAAATCCCCCTCCCACCGCTTAGGTACCACGTTCTGATTCCCGCCGCGGGCCGCCAGCTGCCCAACCGTGGTTTATACAATCATGGAGAGATACGCCAAGCATCCTTCGCCTCATCGTTTCCCTGACACAGCCTACGTACATTCTTCAGCCCTCATGAGTGACCACGTTTCGCAGCCATAAACCACTGCCTTCAGCAAAGCGATATTAAAAAAGTGGGCATGGTCCTTCTGGCTTGACACTTTGTGCTAGCTTGACACTTTGTCCTTCTAGCTTGACACTTTGTGAACTGTAGAATTTGCGCCAACCGACAACTTTTCGACGTGTAATCTCCGGCTGAAGATTGTGGAACGCATTTACTTGCCCGAAACAGATCTATTAACTTCTTGCACCACCTTCTTTTCCGATGCGCCGATTTCCTGACCCATTTTCTTACTTCGTACCTCGAGCCCACGCAGCATGTCGTTTACTTCGTATTGGCAATAAGAACTACATCATCCGCGAAGCGCAATCGGTTTAGCGGCTCGTCAATGAACTTCAGACCAATCCAGTTCTTCAAATACTATTTCGAGGCAGGCAATGGAAAGCTTGGCAATATGAGATCGCCTTGCCTCACTTTTTGTTATGCGGACTAGAGTAGACTGCCTTCTCGATTCCAACATCGACCCCCATGAACAGAGCCGAGAGATGCACAGCGTATCAGGCTCCATATTTATTTTTCTTAGTTCATTTTCGTCCCCGTGGTGCGATATTCAGCGTGAATTAACATCTCTGCTTGCATAGCTGATTGACCTTTACTGCATTACTAATCGCTGGTCAGACCGACGCTGCTTCGTACTACCCAAACTTAGCCGGACAGACGCGGAACAGTGCTTTTTCGACATGCGTGGAGCTGCCAGGATTGTAGCCCACAGTGACTCGAAATGCCTGGTCCCTTGCCACTCCGGTACCACATTAGGTACATGGGTTGGGATTTTGCGAGAACAAATGTCCCCACCGCATGAATAAAAAAGACTAAATTGGAAAATTTATCAGTTCCATGAACCGTACAGCAGCAGCAGTAACGACAGATGGCGCCTGTATTTCAGGCCCATTCTTCTGATTCATATTCGTCAACAGGACTATAATTCGTTTACTTGTTTGGTATTAGGCTGACAGTGTATCTGGGACTCAGTCCACTTATTTCCCACGCAAAATTTGGCGTATCTGCAAGCATACTTTGTATAATGATCTGTGAAGAAGACAGTCGTGGTTGGCTCATGGACTTCGGAAACAATCACGAAACGCTTCTTGTCGAACTGCAGTGTCTCTGTATTTTGCCAAAGATGCTCTGTCTGCGCATGTCGACCGCCACTGTAAAACACAAATTTCAACACTTATTTAAAAACTTCCTTTGAAACGCAAATTGTTTTTTTCCAATTCACATCCACTTACATTTTCAGTTGAACGACACCTTTTCTCCAGCATGCGTGATAAAAGTCGACCCCAAAACCGGAGTACCAATTCTGTACATATTTTTATTAGAAGCGACAAAAACTTAAAACCTTTCTTGTTCAAACAGTATAATTCCACGTGCCAAAATGCCAATCCATTGTGCTACGCCAGTGCCAGGATCGCCAAGAGGAGTATTACCAAGGTTGACAGATGGTTTTGATGTGAAAACACGGTGCAGATGAGCACCGTAATCCGGTAAACGTTGACAGAGCTAAAAAAGCGTTAAGATACCAATCTATTCAATGCACCAAAATGCCAGTCCACAAAACTCGGGGTTCCAGTACGGATGGAAACATCTGCTGGCCACACTACAAATTCTTGCTCCTTATTTACAGTAGCTTATGAAGTGACGACCCATGAAAACCAATTCTACAACGCCAAAAGACTTTTCGCTTTCAGCATATTTGAAAGCTTTCCTGCAATATCACGAGTCTTTGAATCACCACTGTTTTATTTTTCTAAGTATCAAGAATTTCATTTCTCGGTTTTCAGACTGTTTCAAGTTAAGAAAAAATGCTATCCAATGTTACCGGTATTTCCTTACTCTGAATCTCGCTGCTGTACTTGCAGAATTTTAAACCATGATAAATGACACTTGCGTGTGATGTGCACAAGGGAATGAAAAAAGAGCTAAAGGTGGTCAACGCTTTTTTGTTTCGGCCAGAAAAGTGCTAAACTGTTCTCAAGTGGAAAAACGGGAAAACCGGAGTAAAGAATGCAGAAATTCAGACCAACACTTAATCAACAAGGCAAAAAAAAAACTTGGTCGAAGTGTAAAACATCACTCCCAAAACGATGTCTTGAACCCAAGTTGGAACGCATCAGGCGGGCCGGGCGGTCATGCGTTTTTGCACTTTTCGTGCTATCACAAGATCGCAGGGAATCACAATAGCTACCCTTGTGACATCGGCCCTCGAAGTTCGGGAAATTAATTGTGCAGCTATGTCACACGTCAGTTGTAGATGTCGACATCAGTGACCCGACAAACAGAAAGCTGTTGGTCCGCGAAAAAGGCCCTACTAGAAGAGTTAAATATGAAATCTTTTAGTTGCACATGAGTAGGGGAAATCCCCTTAAAATTAAAGTTTTCCAGCTTTTCTCGTCCCTGAGTTAGTGATCTTCCCGCCAAGATTTCCACTTGTCCGTACGTGGGTTCCGAGTGTTTCTAAACAGCTGATTTTGGTCGTACATAAACAGGGAACATTCCCCTAAAGTTTCGTCTTTCTAGATTTTCTCGTTCCCGAGTTAGTGGTTTTCCCGCCAAAATTTCTATGTGTCCGCATGTTAGTCCCGGGCAGTCCTATGCAGCTGAATTTGAAACCTTTTAGTCATACATGGGCAGTTTAGACATTTCCCTAAAGTTTCAGATTTCTGGCTTTTCTCGTTCCCGAATTAGCAATTTTTTCACCAAGACTTTCACGTGCCCACGCGTGTATCTCAGGTAGTCCTAGGCATCTGAGTTTGAAGTCTTTTGGTCACACATGAGTGTTGAGCATTCCCCTAAAGTTTCAGTTTTCTAGCTTTTCTCGTCCCCGAGTTAGCGATTTTTCCGCCAAAATATCCACATGGTCGTAAGCGGGGCCCAGACGTGCGTAAGGACTGATACCGCGACCCTGGGGTGGCACTTGGCCGGGGGAAAGACTGGCAAAATTTCAGCTTCAAAGCTTGTGTGGCTGGCGATTTGAAATACCCGGGCAGACGAACACACACACACACAAACAAACATACACACAAACTGGCAGGGTCGTTGCAATATGCGTTTCTGTTGCCTGTTGCAGCGCTCTAGCGCCGCACGACAAAAATGCATAAAAACCGATACAAAGAAGCCACAACTGTAAATCTGACGCTGAATCGCCGAAAATGTTTTAATAATTGGGACTAAAAGACAAGCGAGGCGTATGATTCCGAGTAGTGTCAATTCCGGTGGGATGCAAAAAATGGCGCAACTGGCACCAAAACCAAGATATGCTGTCACTTCATCTGAAGCTATACAAAGCACATGTCTGGGACAATTCTTCTGTAAAGCCTTCAAACTCTTGCAACATTTCAGTGAATTTCCGGTCCACAAAAAAGCACAAAGCGAAGCCCATGAATAAAAAAGTTCCAGTAACCACTCTTGGTTACTTTACTGCTGCCTTCAGTCTGCGCAATACAATTTGGTGTTTCAGGCTCAAGTTGCTGGTTCGAGTTTGCCAGTGAGCGATCAAATCCTCTATAATCTTTTGATTACTTTAAAGGACAAATGGGTGATAGGACGCAGAAGATGAAATTAACCCACAAATTACCCTCCAGAGGGATCTAAGCGCAGCTTTTTTAGGCAAAATCAAAGCGATTAGCCAAATTTTGACCAACCCCTGCTCCGGTCAAATCCAACAAAGACGCAGGATTTTAGCTTTCGATACTGATTAGGACATTAAAAGGCTCAGTTGGTTAGAAACATAATTTGGCAACACTGAGCACTGAACGAAAAATAACAAAAAATTACCAAAATAAAGCGCTTTTCAGCATCATGCTGCTTCATACCACGATATTTGCCATGTCGTTCAACGATAGCTTGAATTATGGGACTTTCATCCTGATTATCAAAAACTCGCTAAAAGTAAAAATTCAGATTATCGCAGTTCAATACAGTCGTCTAAGAAAAAAAACCATGCTGAAGGGTAATATGATTTGAACGACATGATGAAACTCATGAGAGCCAATGGTCCGCCACCCACTGTGTATCTCCGCAATTAAGGATCAGTGCTTTTGAAAATTTTCATACCATTACCTAATGGCTCAATTCTTATTACGGCTGATGGCAGTTCTGGATCAATGAAGCAAGTAAAGGAGCTAAAAGTGACAACAGGCGCACTAGAAGTAATATAAGATACTTCGAATTATTTTACGAGGAAGAAAAAAGAGTAAAGCAAAAGCAAAGGAACGAACACTAAATTAACAACAGACATGCATTCAGTTGACGCAGCTTCGGTCTCAGCGAGTACGAAAAAACTGCCAGTTATGCTGTGGAGGTCGAAGAACTGGTCAGTGTACCACAGCAAGTGGTCAAGGCATAAGCACAAAATACTGCAACAATTTGAGAGTCACACCCTGTCTTAATCACCTGCAGAGGATGTGACCGTCCCAATTACGATATTACGATTTGAAAGCAAAAGTATTAAGAAGCGCAACCTTCGGCATATAATGCTGTACGTCAAAATAATTTGAAACGGCAACATTTGGTCGGTCCGCAAATTCGGCTTGCAGGGCGAAAGCAGCCAAGTCATACAACAAGTCATTTTTTGGCTGAATACGATCATCCAGAATGTCACGTCGCAACTGTAGGTATAACTGATGCATCACTACTTCAGTGCTGCAAAGCAGGACATATTTAGACTGTCAGCATCTCTGTAAAAAACGCACTTTCTGCAGCTTGTGTTACAACGCCCGCTGTATTCTCACTCTTTCCTTTCACTATTCTGACATCAATGGCAAAGTTGAATCTGACGCTGG